AGTCTGTTATTGGTGTATAGGAATGCCTGTGATTTTTGCACATTGATTTTGCATCCTGAGACTTTGCTGAAGTTGCTTATCAGTTTCAGGAGATTTTGGGCTGAGACGATGGGGTCTTCTAGATATACAATCATGTCATCTGCAAATAGAGACAATTGACTTCTTCCTTTCCTATTTGAATACCCTTTATTTCTTTTTCTTGCCTGATTGTTCTGGCTAGAACTTCAAGTACTATATTGAATAGGAGTGGTGATACAGGGCACCCTTGTCTAGTGCCAGATTTCAAAGGGAATGCTTCCAGTTTTTGCCCATTCCGTATGATATTGGCTGTTGGTTTGTTATAAATAGCTTTTTTTTTTTGAGACAGAGTTTCGCTCTTGTTACCCAGGCTGGAGTGCAATGGCGCGATCTTGGCTCACCGCAACCTCCACCTCCTGGGTTCAGGCAATTCTCCTGCCTTAGCCTCCCGAGTAGCCGGGACTACAGGCACGCGACACCATGCCCACCTAATTTTTTGTATTTTTAGTAGAGACGAGGTTTCACCATGTTGACCAGGATGGTCTCGATCTCTGGACCTCGTGATCCACCTGCCTCGGCCTCCCAAAGTGCTGGGATTACAGGCGTGAGTCACCACGCCCGGCATGTAAATAGCTTTTATTATTTTGAGATACATTCCGTCAATACCCAGTTTACTGAGGGTTTTTAGCATAAAGGGCTGTTGAATTTTGTCAAAGGCCTTCTCTGCATCAATTGAGATAATCATGTGGTTTTTGTCTTTGGTTCTGTTTATGTGGTAAATTACGTTTATAGACTTGCGTATGTTGAACCAGCCTTGCATCCCCAGGATGAATCCTACTTGATCATGGTGGATTGGCTTTTTGATGTGCTATTACAATCGGCTTGCCAGTATTTTATTGAAGATTTTTGCATCTTTGTTCATCATGACATTGGCCTGAAGTTTTCTTATCTTGCTGAGTCTCTGCTAGGTTGTTTTTGTTTTTGTTTTGAGACGTAGTCTTGCTCTGTTGCCCAGGCTGGAGTGCAATGGCGTGATCTTGGCTCCCTGCAACCTCTGCCCCCAGGATTCAAGCGATTCTCTTGCCTCAGCCTCCCAAGTAGCTGGGATTACAGGTGCCCGCCACCATGTTTAGCTAATTTTTGTATTTTTTAGTAAAGATGGAGTTTTACCATGTTGGTCAGGCTGGTCTCGAACTCCTGTCTTCAGATTATCCAATGCCTTGGCCTCCCAAAGTGCTGGGATTACAGGTCTGAGTCACCACGCCTGGCCTAAATTCATGTTTTAAATTACTTCATTTCATTAAAAAATAAAATACCTCAAATGTAACTGAAAATTGCTGGATTTCACACAAGTGTATTTCTTTATTATAACAGTACCTCAATTAAAAATTGGGACAATAAGAAAATAAAAACACAACCACTCCTTTTGAACATTTACTTACTTTCTCCTCATAGGACAGTCTTTCATGAAGTGTCCGATTTTCCCACAAATTCGACAACATCTATCATTTGGGGCCAGCTCTCCTTCAGTTAACACATCTGGATCAAAAAAGTACTCCTGGAAGAATATAGATACATAAAAGCCTGAACTATTCATATGAGGTAGAAACACAAAACTAAACACATATTAAACAGTAATCTTAGAGTTCAATGTTAATGTATCATCACTTTGAATAAATATTATTTATACTGCTTAATTCCAAACAAAATCTAAAACCATCAAGGTCTAGCTCAGGATAGTTTTGACTAAATCCATTTTTGTTTTAGTCATGCAGACCACTGCTGAGCCCTAATCCTAAAGGTTTAAGCACACTTCTAAAGAAGTGGATTACATATCCCTGTGAGTCAGCTTCCCCAGGATGTGGGAGGGAGTTGATGCCAGGTACAAAGGCTTTGTCTCGGCATGAAATGAAAAGACTAAAACCTAATGCATTAAGAAACATGATCTGCATCACACAGATTATATTGAAGAAAAGAAAAAAAGCTATGTGTTGCTGCTTTGCTTAGTTGTGGCTTCTGAAGGAAAAATAACAGAACAAAAAGACAGTGGTCTAGCCTCTAGCCTCTTTGTATTAAAATTAAGGTGGATGGAGGCCAGCAACATCAGCATCACCAGGGAAAAGCTGTCACTGGAAAAGCAGTCGTGAGCCTGATCCTAGACCTGCTGAATCAGAATCTGCATTTTAACAAAATCCTCAGGTGATCTGTTTGAACAAGTTTCAGAAGCACTGGTGTAGAAGCTACATCAGTATCTAGCAAAAACCAGATGTACAGATGTAATCAAACACTGAATATGCCTATGCAGCAATACACTTATGTTCAAATAAAAAAGTCTTTGCTGGGAGGAGAGAGGGATTAAGAGGAGAGTTGGTCAAAGGGTACAAAGTTTCAGATAGACAGGAAGAGTAAGTTTTGAGATCTATTGCACAGCAGGGTGACTATAGTCAATAACAGTATATATTTCAAAATAACTAAGAGTAAATGTAAAATGCCTCCCATAAAAAATGGTAAGTGAGGTGATATATGTTAATTGTATGTTGATTTCATCATTCCATATACATGTATCAAAACACCACGTTGTGCTCCATAAATTATGTCAATTAAAAATAATATTAATTAAAAAGCCTTCATAAGGAAATTAATGCAGAAAAACATAACTTTATTCTTAACAAAATCAACTAGTCCCTAACCATTTTCCTCTTACTGAAATTATTTTTTTGACATAATTTTGCTTTGTTTCCAATAAATGTGGTTCCTTAAAAACCCAAGTATCAAGTTATATGAGAAGAGACAGTCGTCTGGTACAGGTAGCACTGTCATCCCCCTAGTTGCAGTAGAAGATTTACTACTTTTTGCTAGCAGATTGGAATATCTAGATTCTAGATATGTACAAACTGGGCTTGGCCAAGGCTGGCATCAAGGCGAATGCTGGCAGAAAAACAATGCACCTATGAAGGCTAGCATAGATAACCAGAAGAAAAAAGGTATCAAAGAGGAAAATGAGAATTTAACAAATTTAAATCCATCTTCTCTATTAGGAAGCTACCTCAGGGGTTAGAGTGTAGCTTTACTTTCTTTTTGTTTTCAAAGTTGCTCTAGTGCTGGCATGTGTTTCCCTGGTGCATGTTACCAAGGAAAAGCAGCAGCAGGAAAATTAGGAATTTTTCCACCCAAACTCCACTTGTAGCTATTTCTCTCTATTCTGATGGCCTCTACCCAGGGATGTCTAAAAAAAGAAGTAGGAGGGGGGCCTCTGGAAACTGTTTTGTACTATAGTCATTTATTTTGGCTAGACTCACCAGACTTTCTAAGCATTTAAGTTACTACTGAAGTAATGGGTACAAATTAGGCACTTTAATTAATTAATTTTTTTTTTTGGTATTTCCAATAGACACTTACCATTTTTGAGGGGTAGTCCTTTGGAAATCCTTTGACAGGAATACCAAATACTCTTCTGCCATTGATAAAAGCCTTCATTATAAAATTTGTCACTAAAAAGAAGAGTGAGAACTCAATCAGATGGGTTAAAAGGAAAAGAGATTGTATTACAATTGACAAACTAGCTGCGCCTGGTGGTGCCTGTTATTCTAGCACTCTGGGAGGCCAAGGTAGGGGGATCGCCTGAGCCCAGGAGTTTGAGACCAGCCTGGGCGACAAAAGCCAAGACCCTGTCTCTGTTATAAAAGTAAATAAATAAAATAAAAAATAAAATTGGCAAAACAAAGTTACTTACTTTTCCTTGACAATCCAGCTCCAAGATTATGATTCAAATCAAAAGGATCTATGTAAAAAAAATTTAAGAGCAAATAAGGTAATCAAATAGGAAATGCCACCATTCAGCCAATAAGTAAAGTTCATAAAACAAGACAAGAATATCACCTACTTTGCTTATCATTAATAAAAGTTTTAAATTCACATCATAGAAAAGAAGTGCAAAAACAAGTTTTAAATGACACCTTTTAAATGAGCTTAAAAGTTTTAATAAAACTAAGCAATACATATTCCTAAACATAAGGCAAGTTTTTCTACTAGAGTGTTCATCAGAATAGAGGGAACTGCTTTATATTTAAATCATTATAAAGCTCTTCATGTTATGACTGGCTGCCTATTTTTGAACAAAATACTGTTTGCAGAAGGCACATTAGCCTGATATTACTTAATGACATTAGTTTTGGATGTATATAGAAGTTACAAATATATTTAAAACATTTTAGCACTAAATGTTACCACTATGTAGCAAGTTTCTGAAAGATCACTTAAGAAAATAATTCATCATGGAGATTACAAAATACACTTACAAGATAAATCAAAACACACAGATATATACATCTGTCCCAATGGCATGCCATTGGCTACCTGGATCTTGGGATACAATTTCCAATAAAACCTTAATATAGACTCTCATTTGATCTTATATGTCTGCATCTCAAACATCTTAGATAGCTATATATATGATGTGCTTTGGAATACTATTTGTTAAATAACTCAGAAAACAGTAGGAACGATAAAAATAATGCTGATGTCAAAGATGTATGTGAGGTCTGAATAAATTGTTTCATGAAATAAATGGGGTTAAAAGCACTATTTCTAAATCCAAAAACTGTTTTATAAGTGATCTAAAATAATCTACAACCATAATGATTCATAATTTAGACATTATGGTAGAGATATTTAACTTCTATTCTTCACATCTCTAAAACAATGTTCAAGAAGGCAAAGAAAAAAAAGTGATGTCCTTTCTTCTGGAGTCCTCTTATTGAGAAAATGAAGGATTGCATGGATATAGTATACACAAGAAAAGTAAAGAAGTAAAAAGAGGCATCTTCCACTTGCCAGTTACGCTTCTAGTGAACAGTAGCTGAGGTGTACCATACTGAAATTAAGACTAACAGTTTACTGAAGCATAGGACCCTTCCTTCAGCTTAACCCTACAATAATAATTGCTTTGAGAAGATTACCTTCATCAGTTTGGTCACGCTTTCTTCAAGTGATTTTTTGTGTGTATGTGTATTTCCGGTTTTGCTTGGTATAGTGGAGATACTACAACATTAGCTACTGTACAGTTAAAAAAAACTACAACTGGCTGGGTGCAGTGGCACATGCCTGTAATCTCAGCACTTTGGGAGGCTGAGGTGGGCCAATCACCTGAGGTAAGGAGTTCGAGACAGCCTGGTCAACATGGCAAAACACCGTCTCTACTTAAAAATTAGCCAAGTGTGGTGGCGTGCGCCTGTAGTCCCAGCTACTCTGGAAGCTGAGACAGGAGAACTCAGGAGGGTGAACCCAGGAGGTGGAGGTTGCAGTGAGCTCAGACTGTACAACTACACTCCAGCCTGGGCGACACAGCAAGACTCCGCCTCCCCAAAAACCAAAAACAAACTACTACTATCACCACTGAAATATCTCAATTCTATAATAGCTGGTTCTTTTTTTTTTTTTTTTTTTTTGAGACGGAGTTTCACTCATGTTACCCAGGCTGGAGTGCAATGCCGCGATCTTGGCTCACCGCAACCTCCGCCTCCCGGGTTCAGGCAATTCTCCTGCCTCAGCCTCCTGAGTAGCTGGCATTACAGGCACGCGCCACCATGCCCAGCTAATGTTTTGTATTTTTAGTAGAGACGGGGTTTCACCATGTTGACCAGGATGGTCTCGATCTCTTGACCTCGTGATCCACCCGCCTCGGCCTCCCAAAGTGCTGGGATTACAGGCGTGAGCCACCGCGCCCAGCCAACAATAGCTGGTTTTATGATTATGAAGTCTTCTTTTTAGTTTAGCCTATTATTAACAGCTTGTCTGAAAGTAACATAAAAATAAGAAGCAAAAGATAATAAACCTTTAAAACTTAAAAAAAAAAATACATCAGACCAGGCACAGTGGCTCACGCCTGTAATCCCAGCACTTTGGGAAGCTGAGGTGGACGGATCATTAGGTCAGGAGTTTGAGAGCAGCCTGGCCAACATGGTGAAACCTCGTCTCTACTAAAGACACAAAAAAATTAGCCCAGCGTGGTAGCGTGAGCCTGTAATCCCAGCTACTCGGGAGGCTAAGGCAGGAAAATTGCTTGAACCTGGGAGGCAGAGGGTGCAGTGAGCCGAAATTGCGTCACTGCACTCCAGCCTGGGTGACAAGGTGAGATTCTGTCTCAAAAAATAAATAAAGAAATAAATAAAAATAAAAAAAGAATACATTAATAGGCCAGGCGTGGTGGCTCAAGCCTGTAATCCCAGCACTTTGGGATGCTCAGGTGGGCGGATCACCTGAGGTCAGGAATTCGAGACTAGCCTAGCCAACATGGTGAAATCCTGTCTCTACTAAAAATACAAAATAATTAGCTAGGCATGGTGGCATGGCACTTGTAGTCCCAGCTACTTGGAAGGCTGAGGCACGAGAATTGCTTGAACTTGGGAGGCAGAGGTTGAAGTGAGCAAAGATTACACCATTGTACTCCAGCGTGAAAGACAGAGCGAGACTGTCTCAAGGAAAAAAAAATAATAATAATAAGTGACAGACTGTAAGAACTGCAGTGATAATGACAAGGAATAAATCAAAAGTTCTATGTGTTTGACATATGAGATCTTTAAAAAGTCAAAACTATGTCTGTAACCCATGGTGATCTGAGTTTCATTTTACAAAAAGTTCACTGTATTTTAATACTACCAATAGGCAGAAATAATAATAAATCCGCAACTTAGAACAGTACATATTATTTAAGTGATACAAATATTAAAAATTTTAAATTTAAAAATCGTATTAAAATTAACAAAATATTTCGTAGACATTTCTCAGCTTAAGCATTTAAATTCCATTTTGTCTTAAAATTAGAATCCAACAAATTGGAAATAATCAACTATTAGCATCAGTGACTCCAATAGACCATTATATTCAATAGAAAAAGAAAAGGTGGCTGGGCACAGTGGCTCACGCCTGTAATCTCAGCACCTTAGGAGGCCAAGGTAGGTGGATCACAGGAGGTCAGGAGTTTCAGACCAGCCTGGCCAACATGGTGAAACCTTGTCTCTGCTAAAAATACAAAAAATTAGCCCAGCGTGGTGGTGGGTGCCTGTAGTCCCAGGTACTCGGGAGGCTGAGGCAGGAGAATTGCTTGAACCTGGGAGACAGAGGCTGCAGTGAGCCGGGATAGCCTGGGCAACAAGAGCGAAACTCCGTTTCAAAAAAATAAAAAAATAAAAATAGAAAAAGAAAAGGCTTCCACATGGCCAAAATAAATGCCAAAATTTATATATGATTACTTATCAGTGAACTCCATCAATAGGTAATGAAGATCTTGAAAATTCACTTAGTGGCATGCTTCAAACTCGAATAGGAGGGTTGTAAAAGTACCACTTTCTTGAAGCTGCTTTATCACTACTGCTGCCCTATTCTTCAGCATGTGTGTAACAAAAGTAAAAGGTTGTGACAGCGTGAAAAGAATTCAGTCATTTAAAAACAAATCTTTAGCCTGGAAAGAGACAAGTTGGCCTGGGGTGGACAATGAGGCTGGGGCACTGCACACCCCAAGCAGCTGCAAGGAGGAAGAACAATGTCCTTATAGTTCAAGCTCTATGGTCTATTCAACTTCAAGTTTAGTTTTATTTGTACCTTCAATAACAATGTATTTTGAGGTCCACTGTTTCTTAAAAGTTGTAAGCAGACTTTTTCTCCTGATGCTAATAACATGTTCTTTAAAATCAAATTCCTCTGTGTAGAAACGAAGAAGGCCCAACCATAGCTGCCCAACAGATTCTGTATTTTTTCCATATTCTGGCCAATAAGTAGGCTAGAAATAAAAGGGAACAAGGGACACCATGGTCTTTAGTAAAGTGTTAATATCAATATTCATTTGTATCTTAGGGAGTAAATTTGGATTTATTTCTAATTAAATAGAGTTTAATTTTTAATTATACAACTTTTCTTTCATATTTAAAAGTATCATTTATGTCAGCTTATTAATCTCTACTCTATGACTTAGAGATGAGAAGAGCTCAGAGTTTTCAGTGTGAAGTCTCAGAACATTTAGTTGGAGGATCCAGAAATAGATCCCAAGAGCCTTCGTAATGCGTAGGTTATTATGTATCTTTAGTTCAACGAGTCTTTCTAAACTCTAGGTACAAAACCACAGAACAAATATTCATTCACTTGGAATAGAGTTCCTTAACCACTTGAAATTATTAGGCATTAAAGAAATACTGGATATAGTCCCTAGAAATTCACTTGGCTTAGTAAAAATATTCTCACATCAAAGAAAACATCTTGTAAACACTACTTTTCTTTTTTTTTTTTTTTTTTTTTTTACTATCATAATATAAATACAACAAGCAATAAAGTAATTGTTGACTACACTGTAGTATAGCTAATTTTTAGTCAAGGATATAGGAAAATCTTTACTCTTAAAATACGTACCAGTTCATCTATTTGATCAAAAAAATAAATATTCCAGCCATCAACAAATATTTCAGGTTTCTTTTCACCTTTGTATATCTGAAATTAATTTTTAAACTATTAGTATGGATTACAAACTTAATGCATTGATACAAAAACTTCTAGGAAAATAGGTATAACTTTATAGAACCGCAGAATTTTAGAGGAGGAGAAAGGCTGAGAGATCACCCAGTGTTCCAGGTAAGAAATAAAATTTCATTCACTAATACCTCTTGAAGAACAGGAATGACTGGTGGATTCCTCTGCTGGAGAAAATATAGCACCATAAGAGTATATGCATATGATGATAAGCTGCCTCTAGATGCATCACCAATATCACACATCTAGACAGAAGGAAAACAAAGAACAAAGGAAAGGTCACCAATGTTTTCTGCTAAGTTTGCATCCCTTCTATTGCCACTAAAAGTAAAGTGCATTACTTTGAAGACTAATATAAAAATCACATTTTCAAAGGCAAAAAATATGCAAACAAAGCCAATCCAACCTAGCAAAGCAGTGGACAGTTGGCTACATGCAAGATCAGATCATTGTATATAATTCAGAACAAAATTTTAGCTGTCTCCATAGGGACTGCCAAAGAGTTACACGAAGCATTTCACATGACTATAGTTCATTAAAAAATAGACTTATGCTTTAACAGTGTTTAAAGGCGAAGTGAAATTTCCTGATAAGTCACAATAAGAAGCATACTTACCTTTGTAAATACTTTCATGGTATAGCACAAATACTTCACTCTGGGATCAATGGCGGAATAAGCAGATAAAAGCCTTGTGTTATGAAGGGCCTGTTAAAACGGAAATAACACTGTAAGACTAACAATTATGTGTAAAGGGTTTGTTGTTGTTGTTGTAGTTTTAAATAATGGAGATGGGATCTCACTATGTTGCCCAAGCTGGTCATCAACTCTTGGGCTCAAGTGATCCTCCCCCGTCAGCCTCCCAAAGTGCTGGGATTACAAGCATGAGCCACCACGCAAGCCTGGATGAAAAGATTTTAAGCTGGAATATTCTAAATATGTTTACAGTGTGATTCATTTTAGGCAGAAGACATTTCAACTGAAATTAACCTTTTTTTCCCCCTTAAAGACAATCTTCATTAACTTACTAGACAATAATAAAGAAGTATAAGTAACATCTGACTTCATGGCTTTTATGTCCTTGGTCTGAACATCTAGAAAATAAGGGCTAGTGAAATAAGCTATAAGTTCCCTTTCAGTAGATATAATATCTCTCTGCATAAACACCCCTCAGGGTCCAGAGAGGTCCTATAAACCCCTGAAACATATCTGAATTACCTGCGAATCCTCAGCCTCAGAATATGGCCAGGTTCACAGCAAGTAAGCATAATAACCCTTGAGACATTGACTAAGACGAAATGAATGGCTTAATTTGAGGTTTTTTGAAAGGAAAGACATCTGTTCCCTTAATCTCTCTGAACAAAAAGCCTGAAGAAAATCTTACCAATGTGTTATACAAACTGATATCTACTTCCAGACCACTTCTCAAATGGAAGAACTTCACAATTGGTACCTTTGCTGTTGTAATAGGTAAGATGTTTCTCAGACCTAAGTTGGGAAATAAAATGTTATCATTAAATTCAGCAGCTGGGGATTAAGTAACTCTTTTGTTAATGCTCCAGTATAAAATGGTGTAAATCTAACTTTGGTCTGTTTCACTGCCTTCATTAAGACTAGTCAAAAAATTCTGTTATTAACAAACATCTGGGAAGATTAGTCTGGCAAAGTTTACATTTATTAAACACACTGATATTAGAACTACAAGAATCAAACAGTCACTCCCCTCTGGGAACTTACTGGATCATAAATGCACAGGTGTGGGTGTGTGTATGTTGGGGGGAGATCCCACAAATGCCAAGGCAAGGGCCTAAAGCCGCAGCCTGTTTCCATATAAATAAATAGAAAAGAATTAGAAATATAATCACATAATTATTCATAAGTAATCATTGGTATAGATACCTAGATATATATCTAGTATAACCTTTTAACTTTGCTAATGTTTCTCGGGTTGTGAAGTGTGAACCTAAGGTGACATTGTGAAAGAAGTGACCCTAAGGCAAGATGCTCTAAGCCCTCTGTCACAGCCATGGGCTGCTGGAGGGCATCTTGGGTGTGCGGCAGCGCTAGCGCTGAGAAGGCGCCCACTGTTTAGCCAGCTGTGGAAGGAGACGTCCAAGATACCTCCTTCCACGGAGGAGTTAGGAGAAAACTCCACTCCCGCAAACACTTATGGTAGGCCTGATGGCTGTCAGGGACACCTACAGACATCCAGGGGCTTAACTGTCTCTATGTGGTGCTGCGCTTCAGTGGTCATGTTCCATGTCTACTTTCGTGTTCCGCTTCTGCACCTGGTTCCTCTTTTTCTTAGAAGACAGAATCAGTAATAGTAACATAAATCTTAAAGTCTTTGTTCTTTCTTAATGAAAATAGTGCTGACGTATTATGCTCCTTCCCTCGACTCAGCTACTTGAAAGTCCTGGGTCTCTATCTCCAAGACACGTGATTTACTTGACCCTATCACTGACCACCAATGACTCACCCTACCTACCCTGCCCCTTGCTTTGTCCTCAATAAAAGTCAGAGTATCCAGGCACTTGGGGCCACTGCCAGACTCCACGCCTTGCTTGGCCGCGGACCCCTGGGCCCAAATTCTCCTTCTCTTGATCTGTTTGTCTTGAGTCTTTACTTCCAGTTTTTTGTCTCCACATCAATAGAGAGGGGCTCATAGGACCCTGTAGGGCTTGATCCTACATGTGTACATGCATGTAGATGTGGTTGTCAGTCAAATACCAAAACAGAGGAACCTACTACAGAGTCTGAACTATGTTGTTCCCACCTATTCTTCCCATGAGACTATATCTGATTTGGAGAACAGCCTATATGGGACAATCATCCTCAAAACAAATTACTCACCTTAGAGCTAGAAGTTATGAAGTTATGAAGGTAATAGAAAGGAATTAACTTCAATAGAAGAAAGGAAATTGCCTAAGCTAAGCTTTGAAAAAGAGGGAGAACAACCAGCAAAAATAGTGGCAGTTGAGGGAATTTACCAGGCAAGGCAAACTGCACACAGAAAGCGTAGATGCCTCCAACAGAACGGTATGTTTAGGAGGTTCCAGAGAATTGTGTAGGTTATAGAATGAACTTGAGGGAATGGAATATGAGGCATAGAAGACAGAGAAACTGGGAAGAGTCCAACTACAGAACATACACGTTTTGCTAAGAATTATTCTTAGAATCAAAGAGGAGCCAATGAACTGGTCTAAGTTGGGAGGAATCACTGACTACATCTAGTTAGACAATGCCCCTGGCAGATTGACTGGTGGCACCAGGAATACAGGCAGGGTGACCACTTATGAAAAAATAATGGGGTATGAACTCTCATGGTGGTATGGGGATACACCGAGGAAGCAAGTCATGTTGGAGAGCATCTATAACTGGTTGGGGAGCTAGGGGTAATAAGGGAGATCCTTTAACAGTAAGAGCTGCCACTTCCTGAGCACCTAATGTGTGATAGGGGTATGTGAAGGGTCCTTTATAAACGTTACCTCCTTAGGTTTATCACCCTCATCTTACAGATGAGGAAACAGAGATCCAGAAAAATTCACTAGCTTAGGAATATGCAGCTGGTAAATTATGGAGCTGGAATTCAAATCTAGGTAAGACTGACTGATTCCCAACCTAGTCTGGGTCAGGGTAATTATCATTTCATCTGTTTTGTTGATTCCAGGGATGCCAATATCAAAAGCCATGAAAGAGGATTCAGAAGAAAGGGCAGATTAATGGAGTTGGCTGCTACAGAAGCGAAGTGTTAAAATGAAAGATAAGCTCATGCTGAGATGTCAGAGTTTGTGTTTCTTCTGAGAGAGTTAAGTGGTGATATCTAGAAAGCAGATACATAGTGATCATATCAGAGAACACAGGACAAAATAAGTAGATAGAAGACATTTCAGGAAAAAAAGGTCTTTGTAGCAGACAGAGTAAATGGAACTTAATTTGATGGGGAAATGGGGCAAGGAAGCTGATTTTACTGAATACTTAGAATATGCTAGGCCTTGTACTTTAATGTATTATCTTTCTTAATCTTAAATGTCATAGAATTGTTATTTCCACTTTAGAGATGAGGAACTGAGTGCTTGTTATGAAGCTGAACGACTTTCTGGGATTGCACAGTCAGCAAGTAGGAGACAGAATTTAAAACCAGAGTCTGATTCCAGAACCTCCACCTACTACTTTGCTATCCTGCCTCTAAATTAGACAGACGCTTTTTTCTTCACATCGTTCCCATTCTGGAATTTGACACTGTTGACCATTACAACACTACAAAGTCTAGGATTTATTCACAGCATATCATTCCAGTTCCTTTTCTTAATTTCTGTCTAGTCTCTCTCTCAATCTCTTTTTCCTCAAGGTTTTCAATGCAAAAAACCGTTTTATTTTCATCTTCAATTCTAGCTGACAACCCCATATTTCTAATTGCTTTCTGGAATGTTAACTCTTTGAGATTATATACTCATGGCAAACTAAACACTTCCACACAGGTGTTCTCTGCAAACATTGCCAGTTCTCAAATACCTTTGATCTTCTCAAATACATACTGGCCTTACTTCCTACTTGTAGGTACAAAATCCAGCAAATTTCCCCACTTGGAATCTCTCATATCTTTTTCCTGTTAGTACCAATGACAGCCTGGCTGAAGTCCTGCTGCCCTGTTGTCTAGATTATACTTTCCCTAACAGAGACCACACCAGCTGCCTAAAAACCTTATGTTATGCTTTTATTGGGTCTTTTCCCTCTTGAAGAAACTTCAGTAGCTTCCAAATATTTACAGACTTGACCTTATCTTCTAATATTTCCCATTTGAAAATCTCCAAATGTACCAATTTTCTCACTGCTCTCCAAAATATCCCACAGTAAGTACCACACTTACTTCTATGTACTTAGAAATGCCTTCTTTTGCCATCCTTTTCAAATTGTATTCACCGTGACCTGAGATCATAGCAAGTCCATCTCTTCCATCAACCTTCCCTGTGCAACTTGTTCCCATATTCTCTCTTCTCAGAAGTTATTTAACTGAATACTACTTTACATTCTTACGTAGTTTGGGAGATTATTTTACCTCTTAAAATATGGAAGCTTTCAAAAGAAAAATCTATAGATTTTTAATTTTTCCACCGTCCCTAAGTGCCCAACACAGTGCTGTGCACATAGGAGGCACCCAATAAAATACCTGGGGAGACTGCTTTTAAAGTCACTAAGTTTTAAACACAGCCCTCTAGCTGTTATGAAATTCTTGTTCTGTGCAATCTGCATTCCATTATTATTATAATCATCTGTGTGCCTAAGTCATTTCTAGTCTAAAAACGATTTGTTTTTAACATGGTTCCTTCTTAGGAAATATATACTGAGGTATTTAGGGGAAAGGACATAATGTCTACAGCTTAATCTCAAATGGTACAGGAAGAAATGGAGAGCAAGCAAAAGATGGAATGATAAATCAAATATGGAAAATGTTAATTGGTAGATCTGAATAAAAGCTATATGTGGAGCTCTTTATGCAACTTTTGCTCCTTTCCTTTAAATCTGAAATTAAATTATTTCAAAACACAAAGTTAAAGTCTAACTAAGTGCTAAAAAATTAATAGTTGGTCGGGCACGGTGGCTAACACCTGTAATCCCAGCACTTTGGGAGGCCAAGGCGGACGGATCATGAGTTCAGGAGATCGAGACCATCCTGGCTAACATGATAAACCTGTTTCTATTAAAAATACAAAAAATTAGCCAGGTGTGGTGGCATGTGCCTATAGTCCCAGCTACTTGGGGGGGCTGAGCCAAGAGAATCATTTGAACCTGGGAGGTGGAGGTTGCAGTGAGCCAACGTCGTGCCACTGAACTCCAGCCTGGGCCATGGAGCAAGACTCTGTCTCAAAAAATAAATAAATAAATAAAAATTAATAGTCATGGTAACTCAGTACTTTAGTGTCTTTGCACAACCTTCAAAATAAAACACGTGACTTTTAGAGGAGGAATTCCCAAGTTAGGGGAATGTTTATTTCAATGACCAAAGAAAAGTGTATCAATGCACTTCTTTTTTTATATTTTTTTCTGCCTTCTATGAACGAATCAATGTACATTTAAGAAAACGAAGTCCAACCCAATCTCTATATACTTTAGGTTAACTTTTGTTGGGAATAAACCAAAATTAAGATTTTTTTTTCCTCGTGTTATTTAAACAACATGGTAGGTACTTTATTTACTCCTGGAAAAAAAATTCAAAGAAAAAGGGCACTCTAGGTGTGTATGTATGTGTATGTCTAGGTGTGTGTGCACATTCATGCTGTGACTTAAAAGTTTGTTCTTAACTAAAATGTACAAAAGCTTTTCATGGAAAGACCATGGATTTTAAGTTTCCTGAGGACGGGGGCCATATATTGTTCACCCTCATTCTCAGCTCTTGGCACAGAAGTTTGCTGAACTACATTTTAAAGGAAGGTTTTTCAGGCCGGGCACAGTGGCTCACGCCTGTAATCTCAGCACTTTGGGAGGCCAAGGTGGGTGGTCACGAGGTCAAGAGATCGAGAGCATCCTGGCCAACATGGTGGAACCCTGTCTCTACTAAAAATACAAAAAAATTGGCTGGGTGTGGTGGTGCGTGCCTGTAGTCCCAGCTACTCCGGAGGCTGGGGCAGGAGAATTGCTTGAACCAAGGTCGCGCCACTGCACTCCAGTCTGGTGCCTGGTGACTGAGTGAGACTCTGTCTCAAAAAAAAAAAAAGATTTTTCACTGTTAATGGTATCCATAGCTGCCATGACAACAAAAGGGCATGTTAACAGCATTTCAATACTGTCCATGGCTTACAAAATCTATATATTTTATAGCTGTAAATACTCTAGAAATTACCTAGTCTAGTTTTCTCAATTTATCAATGAAAAAAGAGATCAGTCCAGGCATGGTGGCTCACACCTATATTCCCAGCACTTTGGGAGGCCAAGGCAGGAGGATCGCCTTAGCCCAAGAGTTCAGAGACTAGCCTGGATAACCTAGCACGATCCCATTTCTTAAAAAAANAAAAAAAAAAAAAAAAAAGAAAGAAATAGATCACTTCAAGTGAAGGACTTGTTTAGGGTCATATACAGCTTCTTGAGCAGAACAACCAGCAATTCACCCACATGCCCAGTCCAGAGTGCTTTCCTTTCCTGACACTTCACACCATTAGCAACTCCTACACTTTGACTTACATAATACCAATAAAGGAAAATAATTTACAGACTTTCTTGCCTGTCTGGTGTAGGCTTTGTCTTGAAATAAAACTGAGAGGTAGGCAACAATATACCCATAAATTATCACCAATTCCTCAGTCTTTCATACTTAAGCAAATAAGATTTTAAAAAGACATTAATATTACAATTATTCTATAAATGAGCCATTACACTGCTTCATGGCATTAGTAAACTCTAAGTACAATTGGCCCTTCATGTCTGTGGGTCCTGCATCCCCATATTCAACCAAACACAAACCAAAAATATTTGTGGGAAAAAAGCAACTAATAAATAACTAACAATACAACAACAACAAAAAAATACAAATAAAAAATACAGTATAACATCTATTTACATAGCATTTATACTGTATTAGATATTATAATTTAGAGATGACTAAAAGTATATGGAAGGATGTATATAGGTTATATGCAAATACTATGTCATTTTATATAAGGAACTTGAGCATCTAAGGATTTTTTTTAATCTACTGGGGAGGGGAAAGGTGAGGGACGAGGAGTGTGCCTGGAACTAACACCCCATGTATACAGAGGGAAGACTATACAAAACACTAATTAAAAAGTCAAAAATATTTTTAGAAAAAGTTTACAGAGGTACCTGAATGTTTTCTGAGGACTCGTGCTAATTCTTCAATAGTTCTGACACAGTCTAATCCCTGCAACAAAGAAGGTACAAAGAACTTAATAAAAACTGGAAGACAGGTTCTGAAACTGGCTATAGTTTCCTTTACCTTCAGAAATAATGAAATTAATTTCAAGTCAGCTTCTCTGTATATTTTGCCTTTCTAGTTGAGTATCAGAGTCAGTATTCACAGGAAATATCCTGAGGGTACAAAAACCACTGAACACCCAATACATTCTAATTGTTTTTGGGTATGCAACAAAGGCTAATATCAGTCATGAAGGCTATGGACCCAGGCCTTCCAAAAAAGTCTGAACCATAGTGAGGACCTTCATTTCTTCCCCTCCACATAATTATATCACTCAGAAGTACCCCATGTCCCAGAATATATAAGAGGAGGCTTCTGTGCTCCAGCGTATTTATTCTAAGTAGAGCTTCATTATAGTTTAGGAGTTGATGAATTGCGGTGGTGAGTAATTAAGCTCAAATTATTTCCTGAGAGGACTAGCCAGAATTATAATGTGTAAAACTAAAGTCATACAGCAAATATGAATAGTATTTCAAATAAATTATTCTTAAAAACATTTGGGCTGACTCCAGCAACACAGGCCTGTATGATGGTTATAAAAATCCCAGAACAAATTTGGAATGTTATTTTAGAAATGCCCTCAAAAAGAGTTTATAAGCCAAGTAAAAAAAATAAATAAATAAACGTTGAGGATGTATGATAGGGTCATTCCATATGTTGAGCCAATCTTGCTAATATACTTTATTCAAATTCAGGCTAGATCACTTTTGACTATTTTCCCAAATCAGGTATATCCTCAATATATAAAGACTTGAAACTAAGAAAAGGTACAAAAAGGTCTTCAGCAACAGCAGCATCATTCTTGTAGATATCTAGCATTTGGATTGCTGTCAAGATTTCAAAGGAATAGGGACTCAGCACTTCCCAGACTTTATACCTTTATATGGTATTTTATATTTTATAAATGCCTTCAGATATCCCAGGGACTGGCAAGCTTGTTTTCCTTTGCGCGCCATATGGTCTCTTACAACCACTAAACTCTGTGCTTACAGAGTGAAAGCAGCCATAGGCATTACATAAGTGAGTAGGTATGATTCTGTTCCAATACAACTTTATTTACAAAAACAGGCAGTGGGGGGTTGAATTTAGCCCAAAGGCCATTGTTCGCTGACTCCTGACATACATGATCCATGATAATGTGTACAAAAAATCACTGGAGGCAGGACGAACAGGTATTAAACTTTATTGATTATTTACCAAAGACCACATGTTTAGTTATTGATGAAACCAAGTTTGTTTCAAATCCAGTCTCTGGACTATAAGGTTAGTACTCTTAACATTTACCACACTGCCCATCTGGTAAAAAACTTTACAGATAACCTTATGTGGGTGTGTGATCGAAGTTGGCACAGTAGCCAATGAGACACTGGAGAGGCTGGTTTAGCTATGCAGAATTCCCAGGCATTACTTTCCAATCCACTTTTTGCTACAGGGTGAAAGTATAAGCTTTCTACTCCTCACATTCCTCACAACCTTTCTAAGCTATTTAATGTGTTTGGCCAGAGACTGTGCCAAACAGTACACTCCATTGGGTATGCCCTGATAAATTTGGAAAATACCAAGCTGTAATGTCAGTCTAGATTGGTCAAATCATACTGCCACAGCAAATGGAAGTTTTATGTGGTCACTGTACCTCAGCAGTTTCAAGTCCATTAATTGTCATACAGACGTCAAGGTCACTCTGTTTGAACCCAAATCCATTTTTGGAGGAGCCAAACAGGCTCAATTTAGTTCCTGTTAGGGATATATGAAAAGTAATAACTAATTACCTGAGTACATTTAATTTTTGATCAAAATGGCCCTCTCATGAAGCAAAAATACCCAGTTGTTTATCCTATATTAATCTCATACTTATGTTCTCTGATTAACTGGTCATTTATTCTAAAATCTTTTTCTCAAAGTTTCCTTTACATATAAGCTGTATATGGCAACAAAGATTACCAGTGCTACTTTATTCTCAAATGCAAAGACATTTCAAGGAAAATGTTAGATCACCTCAATACATTTAATAATGCAAGCTTAATTTTGACTTTAAACATAGTATTACATGAAATTCATTTACGGCACTTGCTAGAATAAACCCTACACTATTTCTGTTGGTAAACGAGGATTGGGCAGACCAAGGACCATCCTGGGTATATTGCAAAACAATGGAAACCTTGATTCTTACAATCTGCGTGCTTATAACACATGAACTGTTTTGGAAGAAAGGTCACACAACTTTTCTTAAAAATAAAAAACAAATAATTTACCTGGAAAGTCCTGTCTTATGAAACTTTCTAGGTTTTGCCGAATATGTTCACGAGCCTGATCTTCTATAATTGTTGGAGAAAAATCCTCTGTTAAAAATAAATAGACATAATAAGAAAATAAGACTGTTGACACTCCAATTTTTAGAAAATAAAACTTATAAACTTAAATTCAAAAATTCCTAAATTATTGTGTCTTCTCATTAGACAGCATTAACAAGGTAAACTTTTAAAATTTATTTTTGAGACAAGGTCTGGCCCTGTTGGCCAGGCTGTAGTACGGTGGTGCAATCTTAACTTACTGCAGCCTCTGCCTCCTAGGCTCAAGCCATCCTTCCACCTCAGCCTCCCCAGTAGCTGGGACTACAGGCATGTACCACCATGCCTGGCTAATTTTTGTAACAGCAATGTAAAATTTAAAATGTCCTTTTTTAAGAGTCTAAGAAGTGCTCTTGAAATGGAAAATAATTTGAACAGGGGGTCTGCACTTGCGTTTCCCGAAAGACACCAGCATTACAGAAAGGGCCTTCAGGGATCACCACCCCACAACAGTGTGAATTTAAAAGTTTGTGAGCTTTGCATGTATTTTTTTCCCTAAGGAGAACCTAGTTTTTTTTTCATAGCTCATAATATCCAAAAAATGTTTCAAAAATAAAAGCACTGGTTAAGAACATGTGCCTTCTGGCACAGATGAACACCTTATGATAAAGCCATGTGAAACAACTTCCTTTATTTTAAGCAGCTGAACATCTCTCCTTTAAATGTTTTCTTTTTGTAAAACTGCAAGTCTCTCTACACCAATGCTTCCCCAAACTCGAGTTCCTAAAGGGTTGTCACGTAGGCTATTATTTAGTGTTACTTGAAAAGTATTCTATGTTCAAATTTTAGAAATAATATTTCTCAGATACCTTTATTATGCTAATATGCCCTGGAAATCTCTAAAGGAGATTGACTGTCCCTAAGAGAGAAGGGAGTGTATAGCATTATTCCCCACTTGGCCCGGGTATACTTTTGGTGATGAAATATTATTAACTGCATCTAGGAAAAACATTTCAAAGGATACCATTTGGGAATTGTTAGTACTCTAGTTTAAGACTTAAAAGACCCTCAGCAAGGCAACTTTCGGCCCCTCACAGAAACAGTACTTTGAAATTTATATTAAGATTTTACCCTCTCACAACCATTTTGGAAAAATTATGAACTGAGACTCTTCAGAAAATATCTTTTTTCTGGAAGAAAATGTCCCTCCCTTACTCTCATACTTACTTTGTAACCTGGCTTATAACAGTCCATCCATTTTTGTAGCAAACTTTTCAAAAACAGTTATATAACCTGGACCCATCTTTCTGGGGCCTGGATCTGCTTACACAGCAGGAAGGATAACACCACCAACCTTTACATAGCCCAGCTGGCCATGAAAGTGTGTTCAGGCTTCAAGTAACTCAAATTTTAATTTTTGGTTGGGCACGTTGGCTCACACCTATAATCCCAGTACTTTGGGACGTCAAGGCGAGTGAATCACTGGAGGTCAGGAGTTTGAGACTAGCCTGGCCAACATGGTAAAACCCCGTCTCTACTAAAAATGCAAAAANAAAAAAAAAAAAAAAAAAAAAAAATTAGCCTGACATGATGGTGCATGACTGTAATCCCAGCTACTCAGGAGGCGGAGGCAGGATTGCTTGAACCCAGGAGGGGAGGTTGCAATGAGCTGAGATCACACCGCTGCACTCCAGCCTGGGTGACAGAGCTAGACTTTGTCGCACACAAAAAAATCTTTCTTGGCAGAGTAATGGAAAATTGAAATGGGGAAAGATATTAATACTAAGCTTTAAAAAGAAACCTGCTGGCCAGGTGCGGTGGCTCAAGCCTGTAATCCCAGCTCTTTAGGAGACTGAGCTGGGTGAAACACTCGAGGTCAGGAGTTCGAGACCAGCTTGGCCAATATGATGAAACCCCATACCTACAAAAAATACAAGAACTAGTTGGGTGTGGTGATGCATGCCTCTAATACCAGCTACTCAGATGGCTGAAGCAGAAAAATTGCTTGAACCCAGGAGTTACAGGCTGTGATGAGCTGATACCCCGCTACTGCATTCCAGCCTGGGGGACAGAGTAAGACCCTGTCTCCCCACCAACCTCTAAAAAATGAAACCTGCTATGATTGGTATATACCTTGATGCAACAACTATGCTGTTAAGAAAAGGAAGTACAAAAGACACTTGGCATTAAAAGAAAAACAATTGGGAACACAAGGATGGGAACACAAGGAAACTGTATCGCTACAAATAATTAAAAAATCAGTCAGAAAAAAGAAAAAAAAAAAAATCAGTCAGGCATAGTGGCATACACCTGTGCTCCCAGCTGTTTCGGAGGCTGAGGTGAGAGGATTACTTTAGTCTGGGGAGGTTGAGGCTGCAGTGGCTTATGATTGTTCTGCTACACTTCAGCCTGGGTGACACAGTGAGATCCTGTCTCAAAAAATTTAAAAAAAAATTTTTTTTTTAAATAAAAAAGACCCTCTCTGCTTCTCTCCTCATCTTTCTTTGACATCTGTTGAGTGTCGCAAATGGAACAGACATGACATGGCACACTGTGGATACAAACGAGAATGGAATAGACTTGTTCCTTAATGTTTAGAGAGCTAATAGTGATTCTAATGACTCGAGTAAATGTCAATTTAGTATTCTGACAAATCAAAAGAAATGTGAATAACTTACTATAACACTGGATACAAACTTGATCTAAGATATTTAAAAACTTGGGTGTTAATGGTGGCAGAGGTTCTAGATGGATTCTTTTGAAGTCTTCAGGACAGTCCTTCTTTAGATGACCCTCTCGTTTGCATAAGCTGCACACCACCATAGGAGACTGCAGGAATATGGCAAAGCAAAACAAGACTTAACACTTTATTTGCCAAATAAAGGAGTCTGGAATCATTTTTTAAAAGTACATAGTCTCCTATTCAGTTTCCAAAGGAAACAAAAATATAACATGCATCCATTCAAATGATCTGAGAAATGGGGACATCCTAGGTATTCTTAGGAGAACAAAGTAGTTATTTTCACTACTCATAGCCTTCCCTTCCTCTGCTAATTCCCATGAGTCTTAAGGAGGAAAGTGGACCAAGCAGTCGTATCAGAATGAAAGGCCAACTTGTTAAACACTACCAAACTAGGAAAACTCCTAGTATATAAAAATTGAAATTACATGCATTCAAATTGCTTAAAATCTCCTAGTTCTATGTCTAGTAGTGGTACTGATTACCTTGCCTTTGGTGAAGATAAGTTTACTGAATTCATAAAAAAAATCAGACTGATCCACAGGTGAATTTTCTTCACACACATTTTCTTCCTTAAGACTTATTTTGTTAAGTTCCACTAGCAGAGCTCCATCTACATGTTTCCCACAATCTTTCACATCTTCATACTTAGCAGGCTCGCCTAACTCATAATCCTCTTCAGATAGGGCATCCTCATCCCCTGACCCAGTGTACGTGTTGTCTAACTCATCTTCGTTAGCCATGCCATCTTCATCTTCCCTTTGGTTAATGGTGAGCCTAGGTTCTTCTTCCTCCTCTTCTTCATCCTCCTCCTCCTCTTCATCAGAGGGAATCATTTCTGATGCCTGGCCCTGTACTGAGTAGGTAAAGTGGTTTAGAGAGTCTTCTAGTTCCTCAGTACCTTCTATACTTTCTCCATCAAGATCAACTTTGTCATTTAAAGTAGCAAGTCCATCACACTCTTTAGCTGTGGGATTTTGGAAGCCTTCTAAATCCAAAGGGCTGTCTGACTCATTATTACATGTGCTGCCACAGATGACACGCTCCCCATGTTTCTGATCAACAGTAAACAGATGCTTGCCCTTCCTTCCAATTTTCTCTTTCTCATTTTTCCTTCCTGTTTCTTGATGGTGTACTTTATCAACCTCGTAATCATCACAGTTAACATTTGCCTGGATACAGTCTGAGTTTTCGGGGTGGACATTGATGTGTTCATTTCCCATTTCTTCTGTTGGTGGGATTCCGAAGCCGTCAGCAGTCTCCTTAAGAGTAACTGGCTGTACCTTACAGGTATTTGCAGCTGAACTGGCAGCACCAGGACCTTGAGACAAAACTGAGTTTTTGAGTTTATCATCTTTTGCTTGTATATCTGGATTATGATTTACTACTTCTTTAGAATGTTGTGAAATACATGTTACTGCATTCAGGGGCTTTGGAAGGCTGGATTTTGTAATTTTGTGTGGAAGAGCAAAATACTTGTATGTTGTCCTTAAACAATGAAGTATATATTCAAATACAGGTTGACTATTTAGGGTCCTTGCCACATTTCTTTTAACAGAATAGGGATCTGTAATAAAAAAAAAAGAAAGAAAAAAATCCATGTCTTCATATACTACATTTCATGTTTTAAAAATTAGCCTCCTGCAGCTAAAAACAGACAACAAACAACAGTAAAATTTATCTTTTACTTTATAGGCTTTAAAAAAAAAAAACTGGGGGTGGAAAGTAAGAAAATAGAGTTTAAGAACAAAAAGCAGTATTTTCTGAAACATCTACTCTATGAAGGGAACCCATTCTGTTCAGAACCAGTACCCCTTCTCCCTATTGTGCTCTGTGACTGTGGAGGTAGAAAAGATGTTATCAGCATGGCTCTCAGGCCCTCGGGAAGGAAGATCTTCCCACCAGGCTCTGCTGCTGAGTGCTCTGCCTCCCCACTCAGCCAGGCCCTGCGGTTTATCGAGCTTACCTCCACTCTTCTGCCCTGGGAAGCCCCATCACTGAATTGGCTGGACTGAATTTCAGGGGCGAGAGGGAGGCACCAGGAGGAGACACCACTTCTCTCAATCTTTTCTCCTCCCCTAGAACTCCAGCAGGTTAGGCAATTGGCCAGAAGAGCTGAGCCAGAGAAACTGCAGGGGAGGGTTTAAAAATGTGAGATCCCCATGACTGCACACAGAATTTATGCAAAATGCAAAAAACCCTCTTATGCAACATAAAGCTTGAAAAAAAATCAAGCAAAAATAAGAGAATTCCATTTAGGAGGTTCTTTAAATTATTTAAAGGAGGAGAATTAAGATTTCTAGAGGGGCTTCAACCTCCTGACTTTGCAAAGCTGAGAAGATCTAGTCCATTTAATGATGTCTACAGGGCACATCAGTGTATCTTTGATAAAGTGATTTCAGTTAAATGAGCCTTCACTAAAAATGTGTTTTTATGAATTAAGTTCTAAATGTTACTGCAGATACGTCAAAAACAACTACTCATTCTCTCTACTGGAGAGGAATCCAGTGGAGAATGACATTTTTGACGAGAAAATCGTCCTCATCTTTGCAAAACTAAACAACTTCAACAATTGACAAAAGGACTGCATTTAACGGTAAAGAGGAAAGGGGGATTTACACATCACTTTGAAAAACATATTTTAGGCATTTAAGTGGTTAAGCAATCTACAAAGAAAGCAAGGACTCAGCCAGCCAATATTCAAGTTTTTATACTTTAAAAACCCAGGGTGAACAGTTTGATTCCTTGAAATGACCCACTGTAACACATGCAAGATTCTAACTATTTATTTCCCTTTGAGGGCAGGCATACCTTACTTGTAGGAGCTGAAAAGAGACTGAAATAAAAAGCATGCTATTAGACTGGTACCAAAAAAAAAAAAAAAAAAAAAAAAAAAAAAGTGGGGGTGGTGGGAGGGAATTAAAGATAAACACTTTGAGATACCTTCAATGGCAATGCGCTTCTTGGGCCAGTCCTTCAATTCCCGAGATACCAATTCTTTGACACGAATACTTATCACTAAATCAGCCAAATTAAATTCTAAAGCATAGAATCGAAGCAATTCCACCCAGAGCTGCCCAACTGGTACTGAAGGCTGGTGTTTCATATCCAATATTAATGACACCTATTAATAGCAAAGAGAAATATACAGGTTATTTCTGATGTAAGCATAATCTGGAAAATTAAAGATCATTCAAACATCAAATTTAAAAAATCTGGAAAACCTTAGCAAAGATATAAACCTGACAATGCATCTAGATAAATCAATTCTAACTTCTATTTTGTTTGTAGTAAAATAGCATTACTTCACTGCACTATTAGGATTAGAATATGCTATAATCCAGTCATTACCACAGGAATAGACAGGTTCAATTTTATTTAACCAGACAGCGCTCCTAATTTTGAACTGTTAATAACAGGTGGAGAGGACTGTGCATGGGTTGCTAATATTCTCAGCACTGAACTCTTCCTGTTACTGCTGCTGGAGGCACCTTTATAGTCACAGACACACAAAAATGGACAATAGCTAAAGGCATAGAGAAAAAGGAAAAACACTCCTCTCACTGCCCTGGGAAGCTGTATAAGCACACTGACTCTGTCAGTGGCAAATGATTTTAAAGTCAAATAACTCTTGCCATCAGAAATTGACACTAGTTTTATACTTATAGACTTCTGATACCTCGGAACATAATTGCGTTGTAATATATTAGAAAATACGTATTACTTAGGATAGGGGAAAATATGGGCCCAAATAGATTCTGCCACGTCATAGTTCTTAATTGCTCTGTGACTTAGCTTCTTCATTCTCAGACTGGTAGCACAGCACAGTGGCTAAGAAGATTGGTTTTGGAATTGGGACAATCTTAGATTTGAAATCCAAACTCTGCCATGTACTAGCCGTGTATGAGCCGGGTCAAAGTCTATAATCTGTCTAAGCTTGGGTTTCCTCATCTGAAAAATGGGGATAACAGTACCCACCTCATAGGGTTGTTGGGAGGACTGAATGAGATAGTGTCTGTAAAGTGCTTAGCACAGTGCCTGGCACACAGTGTTCAAAAAATGGTCGCTATCATTATCTGCAGAGTAGGGATGATACCACCTATAACACAGGATAGTGATGAGGATTAAATCAGAAACAAGGGAAATCATCTGGCAAACTTGGTTGCTCTCTGTATTTTTTCACGTAGGTATAGCCTTTTTAAGTTCAAAAAAATCCATATATCACTGAAACACAATGTCACAACTGTAAGATGCTCTCAAGAGGTAATCTAGCCCAACTTCTGTATGTTACAAAAGAAGAAACTGAAGCCCCACAAGTTTCCATGGCTTGTCAGAAGGTTGCACTGCCAGCAGTGGCTGAATGAGAACAATGTTTCAATGTCTCCTGATCTCAGTACACTGCACACCAAATGCAACCTCATAATGTCTGCAGTTCACTTTATTTCAGAAGTGGCAGCATGATTAACCTTTCCAAATAACATAAAAATGTAAAAATAAAGCGTTAACTGGATTTACAGCAATAGCTTTTCCTATAATTCACATTGAAAAAAGTAATTTCCTCTAAGGTGCACAAATTTGTCTTCAATCATACTTTATTATATTAAGCTTCAAAACCAGTGGTATATTTTTCTCAACCACAAAGGTTCTGTCAAGTAATATAAAGTCACATGGTGGCTTTACAAAGCAGAATTGATTAAAAATGCAAGTTGTCTAGGTCCCAAACACTATAGTTTGAGGACACAAAAAAATATCCCAGAAATTGTAAGTGTAACATTTTACCTCTTCATCCATAACATTATTACAAAGGATTTTTAAGCATCTCACTGAAATGACTTGATAATACCATAACATGAAACTGGAGAGACCTTTGAAATATCTAGACTACAGGTACTTAAGCTGGTTTCCTTTAAAGCAGAAACATTTTCTTTTTCAAATAAGAATAGCAGCTAACATTTACTGAGTGCTCACCACATGCTTGGCACTGGGTTAAGCATTCTGTAAGTGACCCTATGAGAGGGTACCAATATTATCCCCATGAGTAGGGAGGAAACTGGTGCTTGGGAAAGGCTAAGTCACTTGCCCAAGGATACACAGCTGGGAAGTGGGAGAGCTGGGATACAAACTCACATATTCTGGCTCCACAGTCTATACTTTTATTCACTACAGAAACTCCAAATAGGAAACAGATAAAAGTGGTTCTGGTGGCAGCAGGGGTAGGGTGGTACCACCACTCTCCTCTTCCTCCCAGTGTTCAAGAATTCTAGAAACCACAACTGGAAAATCTGTGATTCACCACTAACTCCTCATTTTAGGCATGAGTAAAACATGAACTGGAGGAGTGACATGACTTGTTTGTATAGAGCTGGGATTCGAATCCAAGAATTCTATAGATATTATTGTCATTTTACCCCATTTAATGGGAAGATCAGGGGCCTTTCACCTATTTGGGAGAGAATCTTATTCTTATTACTAGGATAATGACATTGCAGAGATCTTCGTTTGAAATTCTAATGGATATAAATTCCCCTGCCCACCTCCAACAGTATGGGACCAGTACATTAAATCATATAAGCATTCACTGTTATTTTAGTAACTGAAAGTTAGTTAACCTTTCATACATTTAAACCTCATAATACCAACTAAGACTAAGCTCTTTGAGCATAGATAAGGATTTACCTTTGAATTCTGAGTCTCTTTCAAAGGACCCAGCACAAAGAAACTACATATATAACTGCAGATTTAGTGATCTAATTTTTTTTAACTTTTCTCATTATTTGTCTTTTCAAGGTACTAAATAGACTGGCAAATGAAAGAGCCGTGAAATAGTAAAGATAGTTAAGGAAAGAAGACAAGACTAATTAACCCACAAACTTCACAACTGACAACTGAAATTGACAACCAGAAACAAAAGAGAACAGACCTGTCCCCTTTTAATCGGCATTTCTCTTGGTGCCTCTTCTTTTGATGAGTCTGTGTCTCCTGCAGCACTGTCACTATATTCCCAGATCACAACATCTTTTTCAATGCCTTTAAGGTTGAAATTCCCTAGTTTGCTTAGTGAGAATCCTTCAATCTAGGAAAAATCAGACACATACTAAAATAAGATAAAGTAATTTTATATCAAACATGGCCTACTAATCTTGGAAGAAATGGAAAAGCATACTTGTAGTTCATTGAAAATACAAAAGATATAATTTATGGAATATCACAGAGACATCTATAAATTTAAAAATATTTTTACAAGTAAAAAAACAAGGTTTTGATTTGCAGAAACAATGGTGACTTTGTGAAATAATTGTTCAGTAAATATTCTAAGAGTAGGCAAAGTGGCCTAGTGGCTGAGGTCATGGGTTCTGAAGTAAAACTGCCTGGTCTCAAATCTCAGCTCCTTTGTATACTAGCTGTACAACCTTGGGTAAGGTACTTAACTCTCTGTAGGCCTCAGGTTCCTTTAAAAAGGGATAACACTAGGACTTCCTCCATGGGATGGTTATGATACGAAAAAATGACCATAAGGCACTCAGAGAGAGACAGTACCTGCTTGTAGCATAAAGCACATAGTAGCTGCTTAATAAATATAAGACAACTATATTGTTAGAAAATGAAATTTAAAAACTAGATCCAACTAATTAGAAAATAATTTTAAATATCATTAATTCTGATTATGCTGGACATTTCCAAAATAAATTTTATGTGCTATTAATGAATTTTAATGCAAAAGAAAATGGTCTGGCTGAAAAGGCTTGCGAAATAAACAGAGCCGAACAGGTTTTTTCATTGTATAATGAGATTTAATCTCAGCCTTTAAAACAGGTAAATGAACAAAGTAATACGGGATGAGGAATGAAGTACAGATGTGGCCTCACATTTCCCAAATGTATTTTTATACTAAATGGACTACTTCATTGGTTTAGAAGAGAGTGATCCTTCCAAAATGTTAAGACATCATGTCACTTTCCTGTTCATAGTGGTTTCCTTCTCACTCTAGATGAAATGCAGTCCTTTCCAGGGCCTGCATAACCTGGCCCTTTTTTACTTCTCTGATCCTTCTTCTATCTTCGTGGCTCAGAGATGACACCTGGTATTCCCTTGCTTAAAATGCTCTTCTCCCTAACAAAGTGAGGGAGGATATGGCTCACTTTATTCTTCCTCACTTTATTTAGTGCTGCTCAAATGTTTTCTCTAAGGAGCTCCCCATTTATCATTCTCTGTCCTCCTTATCCTGGTTTATTTTTCCTCAGAGAAATTACTACCACTGCATATGTATTTATTAGTCTCTTGCCCCTATTGGATGTACAAATTTGAGGAGGCAAGAATTGTGTTTTGTTCGCCACTTCTTTTTTTCTTTCTTTCTTTTTTTTTTCCCTGAGATGGTCTCACTCTGTTGCCCAGGCTGGAGCGCAGTGGAGCAATCTTGGCTCACTGCAACCTCCACCTCCCACGTTGAAGTGATTCTCCTGCCTCAGTAGCTGGGATTACAGGTGCCTGCCACCATGCCCAGCTAATTTTTGTATTTTTTTTTTTTTTTTTTTTTTTTTTTTTTTTTTTTTTTTTAGTAGAGATGGGGTTTCACCATGTTGGCCAGGCTGGTCTCGAACTCCTGACCTAAAGTGATCCACCTGCCTTGGCCTCCCAAAGTGCTGGGATTACAGGTATGAGCCACTGCCCCCGGGCCCTGTTTACTACTTCTAACCCTAACAACCAGAATAGTGCCTGGCCATGGTAACTGCTCAGTAAAGAGTTGCTGACAGACTGAACTAGTCTTCCACAGAAAACACTTTGGAAAATATTAGGCGTGGTGACTGTTTCTTAATTGGATGTATGTATTCAATATTTTTCTCAACTGGGTAGATTGCCTTTTTGTTTAGGTAGTGATGTTTTCTGAAGAGCTGCAGTTTTAGAATTCAACAAAGTTTGATTTCTTATGTTTTTCTTTATTGATACGGTTTATGCTTTAGTATTTTAAGAAATCCTTGCTGCAAAGGTTTTTTCCTAAGTTTTCTTCTGGGAGTTTCAGAGTTTTTAACTTTTACATGTAGGTCTTTGACCTATTTTGATTTCCAGCTTTTTGAAGTAGACCTTTAGGTCACTGATTTTAGACCTTTCTCTTTGAATTTAAGCATTTAAATCTAAAACTTTCCCTATGCACACTATTTTAGCTACATCTGACAAATTTTATACATTTTTTTTTTTTTTTTTTTGAGATGGGGTCTTGCTCTGTTGTCTAGACTGGAGTGCAGTGGTGTGATCATAGCTCACTGCAGCCTCTACCTCCTCGGCTCAAGCAGTCCTCTCACTTCAGCCTCTTGAGTAGCTGGGACTAGGGTGTATGCCACTATGCTAAGATATATTTTTCTTATTATTTAGTTCAAAATATGTTCTAATTTCCCATTTGAATTCCCCTTTAATCCATGGAATCCTTTCAAATGTACTATGACTTCTTTTGAGAACCAGCATAGGCCAGGTGTGGTGGCTCATGCCTATAATCCTAGCACTCTGGGAGGCCGAGACAGAAGGATCACTTGAGCTCAGGAGTTTGAGACCAGCCTGGGCAACACAGTGAGACCTTGTCTTTTAAATTA